TCTGTGTGTACATCTGTGTGTGTGTGCGCTCACGCATGCATGAGTTAATAATTAGTAACTCTAATGATTTCCAGCGTGGCTCTGCGAGGATTGCCCAGAGCGGGGATCCTGGTGGGCTTTGGTTGGCTCTCCGGTCCCGGACCCGGCGCTCTGGGCCGCTCCCCCCATTCCCGGCGCTCAGCCGGGCTGTGCGGGGCTCCGGGCGGCGGGGAGCGGCGGAAGGGCTATTGCACGGCCGCCCCCAAACCCGCTCGTGAGAGGGACAAAACAAACAGCCCCGCCGCAGAACCCCGGAGGCCGGTGAGAGCGACCCTTTGTGAGAGCCGTTTGTCTTCATTAGCATAATTTTCCTGGACTTTGGTGACGCCCGGGTGCTGGGTGGGGGGGCCGCACTCCTTCGCTGCCACACTCCTTCCCTCCTTCCCCCAGGCTTCCCCAGGCGGCCGCCTTTCTTTCTTCCTGCCGTATAATTTTATTTTTTCCTTCCCATCCTATCCCCGCTCCCCCCCTTTCTTCTTTCCTTCCCCTCCTTCCCATTCCCTCCAGGCGCGGGGAGCGGCCCTGGGAAACGTCCCCATCCTCCGCGCTTTGCGCAGGGGACAGGGACAGGGGCAGGGTGGGCAGCGAGAAGCGGGAGGGAGCCGGGGAGGCGGGGGTCGGGAGCAGCCGTCCCCATCCCGCACGGGGCAGGACTCGCCCCTCCCGGCCGGCGCGGAGGAGCTGAGCCGGTGCCCATCCCGCAGCCGCAGGGACTCGGCCGGGGCAGATCAATCTCTGCTCCCCGGGCTGTGTCGCCGAGGCTCCTAAAAAAAAAAAGGCAAAAAAAAAAAAAAAAAAAAAAAAAAAAAAAGCATGCTGGCTTCCGCCTCAGTCGTCAGAAGTTAAGGTAAGCAGGCCACAAATACGCTGCTATCAGTCGTGAATGGCGGAGTTTATGTCCCAGTGATTTATGACCGTAGACTTAAATGTCGGTTCAAGAAGAGTTCACAAGCTGGGGCTTCCTTCCAGGCAGTGACTGATACCCTTACACTTCGTGTTCAGGCAGCTCTCTCTCCTCTCCCCCCACCCCCTCACCTCTTCTCAACTTTGTCTTTATCTTTCAGGAAATCTTTCTGGGGGGCTGCTTTTTTTTTGCGTCCCGGAGTCAGAGTTTGGGGCTCGGCCGGGAGCTACAGGGGAAAGATGCGGTGTATTTAGGGACGGGGAAGGGGGAGGTAAGGGAGAGCGGAGCCGTGGAGCGGGGAGGCGAGGGGGACATGCCTGGGGGAGGCAGCTTTCATCTGCTGTCTCCGGGCTGTCTGGCGGGGGGAGAGGCCGGTAAAGGGCTGAGAGGTGTACTGTGCAAATGGGGACGGATGGATCCGCCGAAACGGGAGCGGGCAAATTTGGGGGCCGAGTTCTTTTGGCCTTTTGTCTTCGGCGGGGACGAGGAGCGCTTTTCCCATCTCAGGCACCAGTTTGGGTGGCAAACCTTCCGCTTTCCACCCTCCCTCCCCCGCCAGCTCCCGTTAGGGCGCTGCTATTATCCGCTCCCTGTCGCTATAAATCCCGCTAGTGCTGTTTTCGCGAGTAATGGCCGTGCGCCGCTCAGGTTACCCTAACTTTTAGGAAGTGATTAACTCCCGCAGCCAAAGGCGGGGGCCGATTTTCCTTTCCTGGCGGGCGGCCGAATTTTCATTAATATTTTGCCTTCGAGGCGCAGCCGCCCATTGTTGGCGAGGCGGGCGCGCAGCTTTGCGCGGAACATTGCGGGGCTGCCGCTCTGCCCGCCGGCGGCACCCGGCAAATCTGGGAGCGCCTGGGGAAGGCGAAATGTTTGTTGTGGACGTCATGAAAGGCCGGTTGTTTCCTTCCTGTTATTGCGGTTCCCTCTTTCTGAAGGAAAGGAATTGAGAAAAATCACGCCAGGCCCAGATATCGTTAGGAAAGAGAGACGAGGAGCTGGAGATGGTGTCCGCGCCTCAGATCTTGATTGTCTTATTAGCTTAATAACAGCCGGAGAGGTTGATGAGTGCAATAATGAGGCTGCCGCCTTGCTGTAGGTGCGTTACCTTCATTTGGTTGGGATGTAACAAAGGAAAGGCTGTTTTCTAAGAACTTGTATAACTTGAAAGGCGCAGAATGAGATCGTTTGGTGCATGTGTTGCCTAAGACATTTCGCCCCTAAGCATTTGTCGTCGTTAGATGTTTTGGGGGAAAATAGCCAGCTGCCTAAGCGCGGGGGAAGTGGCAAAGAGATCAGAGCTGTTGTGACCCGAAAGAACGGAGCTGTTGGTCAGGAAGGGGAGAGGGGACGACGAGCAGCAAGCTGTGATTTCTGAGAACAATGTATGTGCGTGTGGGACGAGCTGCTGGATGGGAGATGGCGTACAGGTCTCTCATTAGTGCGGGCCATTCTTGGGCTGGTTATTTTCAGATAGGTAAGCTGCAGAATTTAATTTGAAAAAAATAACAGATAACAGAAGGACGGAGAAAGCAAAAAGAGAGGGGAGAGAAAAGGATTCGCCCGGGCAGGAGCAGCATTCTCTGGGTCGGTGTCCACCCTCTCCCCAGCCAAGTGACCCTCATACATCAAATTACATAGCAGCTTCCAAGACAGAACCTATTATCGCTAAGTTGGAAGGAAAGTTCAAGCCGTGGTCATGGAGATGAACGCTGGTTTTTCAGGTTCCTGGTGTTTTTTTTTTTTTTTTCCTTTCTTTCTTTCTTTCTTTCTTTCTTTCTTTCTTTCTTTCTTTCTTTCTTTCTTTCTTTTTTTTTTTTTCCTCCAATCCATCATGTTTTAACAGGTAGAATCTGGCTGATTCCACGAAAAGTTAATGTCTTGAAATAACTGCTAAAAAACAACAGCAGAAGCACCCAGCTTGTCCCTGCTGGCCTTGCTGAAGGGGCTCCTATCCAGGCTGGGTCCAGTGGGGGTTCCAGAGCCGCTTACGGGGGAAGGAAGGGTGGAGAGTCACCGTGGGGTTGTGGCAATGCAGTATTGAAGGGCTGTGGGGGTGGCGGAGTGGCCCTGCTATCACTCCAGGGCCGAGCAGGAGCCACTCTGGGGCTCACCCTGGCAGGAACCGCTGGTGCCAGGGTGCTTGACTCGGGAGGCTGGAGGCAGTGTGTGAGCACGGAGGGGAGAAGGCACCGGCTTTGTTTATTTTCCTATCGAGCATTTCATAGACGAGCCAAAATCCATCACTTGGGATCTGTGTGTGTAAATACCTCTGGCTGCAAAACCTTTCCACCCCGCTCCTACCCCCTCCCACACGTAGATGTGAACAATCTCATGTATTTCTTTGAAGCCGGACGGAGAGCCGTAACCTGGAGAGAAAGGCTAAAAATAAAAAGATGCCAGTTACAGGGGAGGGTTTGGTTGTGGAGCTGGAACGGAGCGATAGCCCAGCCCCTTTGCATTAGTGATTCCTCTATCAGCCTTATCACAGCGACTGGTATTAAAACAGCCTCGCGGTGATAAACGGCTGACCCCTTTGCCGTGTGGTGCCCTGCCCTGTTTCTTAAGAAGAAAGGAAGGAAAAACCCTAGAAAGACCCTATCCCGGTGCAGCAAAGCACATATTTGTAGCTGCCAGTAAATCCAGGCAGCTTTTACATCGAAACGCTCTGCGCCTGAGGCCAAGTCATGCTGCTAAATATTGCTGACCACTTTTTCTTTTATGGCTTTCATGTCACTTAGCTATTGAAAGTAAGATGGATTTGCACCATTTCTTCACCCTGCTCTGCTCTCCCCACACCCCAGGTCTGCCCGGAGCGGCCATTGGAGGAGCAGTGCCACGTGACAGAGGGGTGCCAATGTTATTCTCCAAGGGTGTCAAGACCCTGTCAGTTTGCGAAATAAATATTGGGAAACAACGAAATGCAAAAAGCGACCTACTACGACAGCTCTGCAATCTATGGTGCCTACCCCTACCAAGGAGCAAATGGTTTCACTTATAATGCGAGTCAGCAGCAATATCCTCCGTCTTCGTCACTTGTGGAAACTGAGTACCACCGCCCCGCGTGCTCCCTCCAGTCCCCCGGCAGCGCCGTGTCCCACCACAAGGCCAATGACATCAGTGAGAGTTGCATGAGGACCCTCCCCAGCCAGCCTCTACAGCCCCCTGGTCTCGCTGACCCGCAGGCCCCACCGCAGCCACCTCCGGCCCCGCAGGCACAGCCTCCACCTCCGTCCTCGGCCTCACCATCTCAAAATGCCAGCAGCAACCCTGCCCCTGCCAACCCCACTAAGAGCCCGGCTCTTAACTCGCCCACTGTTTCCAAACAGATATTCCCGTGGATGAAAGAGTCTCGGCAAAACACAAAGCAGAAAAACAGCAGTTCCAGTTCAGGTATGGAAAACGCTCCCCTCACGTGTCCTGCGGGGAGGGGGCAGCCCTGGCTACCTTCACTTTTGGGAAGGAAGGGAGGGTTAGGGGCTTGTTGGCTTGCGATGGGATCTCGGTGACCAAACAACCCCCTGGGATCTTTCCCAGCCTTGCAGAATGGATCCAATATGATTTGGTTTCCCTTCGGCTCAAATGCCTGTGTCCTCCTGCATCTATCACATTTCATAGGTAATCCCCCATCCAGTAAATCACACCAGTGCCGAGCAGCCCAGGCCCTGAGCCAGGGGCCTGTCCCGAGTACTTTGTTGGCACTGTGCTGTTAGATTAATAAGACAGTGACCTATCTCTGCCGAAGTGTAACGCAAATAAAATAGCTCATAATCATGTGCAGTTGGGATCAATGCCCCTGTGTGCAGTCAAAACCTCTTCCTACTTTTACAGGCTGATTGGCAAAGTTACAAGACTGGTAAACAAAAGTCTTCTGGAGTGCCATAAATTTAAGCCTGTAAAATATTTTTTGGAGGATGGCAGTGTACATTAACACTTTTATTACTCAAGGAAACCCAAATCAGTAACACCAGCACTACTTCAGTGCCCAGGAGTTGTGTTTATATTTACCTCTTCCTCTTTTTCTCATAAATGTGCTTTGGAAATAGGGTCCAAATCTTAAAGCAAAGGTCTCTACCAGTGTACTTTTAAAGCTCTGATAATATTGCTGTTTACAGACTTCCACAGCGTGTATTTATTTTATTAAAAAGCAATAACAGTTAAATATGCCTGTACGCAAGCACAGCCGCCATATGCTCTTCTGATGTGCATTATATTTCCCAATCACTACCATATGTTAATGTTGGATGTGCGAGAAACACTATACTGCCAATTCTATGTGTTACAACATTATATGTAGATATCTGACCTTCAGACATCTACAGCTTATGTATGTACAGCAGGGTTATCGGAAGAAAGGGCTGTAGATCTCTATGGTTGTGGATAGCAGGTAGTTCTCAAAGGATCTGAGCCTGGTATGTATGCGGAACAATAGGTTCACCTTTTGAGTTTCTAAAACCTTCTTTATTTCCCTGAACCTTCCTTATTCCTTTACGCAAAGCTCAAGATATGTTGCGCCCTGTCATTCTTTATTGAAGCAAGTGTAGCCGAACAATGGTACCAGTAAAATAAGGGAAGCCTACTGGGGCTTGAAGCATGGCGTGGCTGAGCTCATGTTGGAGTTACATGCTGCACATGTGGGCATCTCATGTCCAAGAGCTGGGCAGCTGCTGACATTGTTGGGCGCTGTCTCTGGTTGCCATGTCTAGGTTTACCATCTGATTGTGTTCTTTGTGTGATTTACATAGGTGAGAGCTGTGCTGGTGATAAGAGCCCCCCAGGCCAAGCATCCTCTAAGCGAGCCCGTACGGCTTACACAAGTGCCCAGCTGGTAGAACTGGAAAAGGAGTTCCACTTCAATAGATACCTTTGCAGGCCACGAAGGGTTGAGATGGCCAATTTGCTCAATCTCACAGAAAGACAGATCAAAATCTGGTTTCAGAACCGCAGAATGAAATACAAAAAGGATCAAAAGGGCAAGGGCATGATGACCTCTTCAGGAGGACAGTCCCCAAGCAGAAGCCCCGTCCCTCCAGCTGCTGGGGGATACCTAAACTCTATGCATTCTTTAGTAAACAGTGTTCCCTACGAGCCCCAGTCACCTCCGCCATTTAATAAGCCTCATCAAAACACCTATGGCATCCCCGCATCGTATACCGCTCCTCTTAATAATTGCCCACCTCCTCAAAAAAGATACACGGGGACAGCAGCTGTGACACCTGAATATGATACTCATCCTCTTCAAGGCAACGGTTATGGGAATCCACATATACAGGGAAGCCCCGTCTATGTAGGGGGCAACTACGTGGAGACCATGACCAATTCTGGGCCTTCCATCTTTGGTCTAACTCATCTCTCTCATCCTCCCTCTGCCAACATGGACTACAGCGGGGCTGGGCCGATGGGCAACAATCACCACCACGGACCTTGCGACCCGCACCCGACATACACAGACCTTACAGCTCACCATCCTTCTCAGGGAAGAATTCAGGAAGCGCCCAAACTCACCCATCTGTAGGAGCCAGGAGTCACTAGGTGGAACGCAAAGCCCCAACCTTTTAAAGTACTCTCCCCTTCCTCTCTGCCTCTCCTCCCCACCACGCGCCCTCCTCCCCTCTCTTCCTTCTTTCTTTTGTTCATTTTAGTTTGTTTCGTTTCCTTTGGTAAAAGCGTTTTCTAGTTTATGTGACGTAGCAATATTTGTTGCTTGAATTGCTCTATAGTTTCACTAGTGGATATTTATCTTCTTGAACTGCAGCCTCGTGTCTCACTTTGGGAGCATACAGAGGCTTTATACTTTACCTTCTACACTTTTATCAAAACAGGGTATATGAACAAATTTTCTATAAAAGGAATTCTTAAATGTGAATTTGTTCGTACATGATTGATCCCACGGGGAAGCAATTTTTTTATTGCACTTCTTTTAAATAGCGAGAAAGACATCAGAAGCGCTTGGACAGGGATTCCCTGGACAGTTATTGATACGTGTAAGTCTTTCAATGTGTGTATGCTGGTGAACATTCAGATTTATTTATATTATTTTTTTTTTTTTTTGCAAACATTGAATAATCTAAGTGTTTAAAATTTTATTTATCCCCATTTGTTCATATTTATATATATATAAAGAATCTGTACCCTGAATATTCAGGAGGTATTTACCTGGCCATGTGTTAGATGGCATATCGGCACGCGTAGGAAATATCATTTGAAAGGGAACTATAACTCCTTTATTAAAATGATAACTGTGATGACAACAATGCAATAAAATCTGGGAAGAAAAAAAAAAAAAAAAGATCACAGCTTGAATAATTGATGCCTGTAACATCCAGGTAGGGGGAAAGAAGGCGTGTGAAGCTGAAAGGCTTAGATTTGTGTTGAAAGTTATACATTCCTTGCTGCTCACGTTCTGAAAAAAAAAATAATAAAGTTTTTATTCTGAATAATAAAGAGTTAAGGCCACGTTATTTGCAGTGAGAGGAAGGGAGAAACCTTCATGACGCGGGGAGTCGGTGGACTCGCCTGGAGCCCACACGGGGCTCAGCTTTCCCACCGCACGGCTCCGTAGCGCCTTTTTAGAGATAGAGAGAGGGATTTATTAGGATTATTTTTCCTGTTGGGTTTCCCTGCCGCCTCTCCCACGCCCGGTGCGGAAGGCGGGGACGCGGACCGCGGGTGTGCACGCGGAGGGGGGGGGGGGGGGGGGGGGGGGGGAGTGTGCCGTGTGCGTGCACGAGCGTTTGCACGGGGGCGAGCGCGGGGCCTGAGGCCCAGCGAGGTGCGGTGCGGTGCGGAGGGGCCGCGCGGTGCCCGGGCTCCCCGAATGGGGACCGAGGAGAAGCGGAAGGAGGCTGCAGAGCCCAGCCGCAGTTGTGGGGTGGATGCCGGGCACAGCTGCCTCTGGGCACCTCTCCACCCCCACTGCCATTTTCCCCGCTTTCTTTAAAGGAGTGGGTTCTCACTCTCGTCTTCCTTTTATTTTTATTATTAGTGTTATAATTCTGGATTTAAATCTGGGGCCGTTTCCTGTTGGCCAAGCCTCCTCCCCCCCTCTGCAGCTCGAGGCAGTGGGGGAGGGGAGTTCCCGTGCTGCCTTTACCTCCCCATACCCCCCCGCCCCCCGCGTGTCCGTGGGCGTGCGTGTGCTCGTATGGCGGGGCTGTGACACGCGGGGGTGAGCGGGCACCCGCGGGGGTCTCCGGGCCGAGCCGGTCCGCGTGAAGGCAGGAACCCCAACGCCGTGTTTAAATGCCATGTTTCTTCCTTCCAGGCCAAATGTCCGTAATTTGTAGATTGAAACTTGGAAGATAAATCAAAGCGGACCTTAATAGACTGGGTAAAATATCCCCTTGCGCGTTTATAGAGACGTATCCCTATGCCGTGTAGATAATCGCGCACGCTGTTTGCCATCTGTATCTTCCAGAGCAAAGGAAAAATGTCGCCATTTTGGTCTCACGCTGAAATATTATTAATCTTTGGGCTTTATCTTGTTCCCAGAGCCACCCCTGCCTGATGCCGAAGCATTGCCACGCAGCCGCGAATCTATAGAGAGCTTTTCTGCATAAGTAGATAAAGAGTGCTCGGGCAGAGAAAGGGATGGCGGATATATTCGCACCGTGCTGCGCGTTACGGGCGGAGATGTAGAACCGTGGAAGGTGATTTCTTCCGAGATTTTTCATCGAAACCCGATTGTTGCCCAGCGCAGACCAACGACCCGTTATTGTTTTGTAGGCAAAGAAGGCATTTTGGCACCGTCGCAAGGCATCGCTCCTTTCCAATTAGCGAATATAGAGAATCCAAACGCCCCCCACCCCTCAGATAAGTGCCATAGATCAAACAAAAGGTAACGGTACGGGCGGTGAACTCGGGTTGTGAGGCTTAGCGCCAGGATTGCTTTTCTGAAAATATCCGTAGAGAAGGAATTCGGCTTTTCTTCCCCCTCCCACTCCGAAGAAAGAAAAAGACAGGCGGCTTTGCCCCCTTCTTTCCTCTCTCCATCCTCAGAGCCTGCACGTTGGCAATACGAATTTGTATTTTTGCATTTGAGATTCGCCCGATTAAAAGATCCCTCTGGAGGCAGAAGTAATTGATTTGCCCAAGAATTTCGCGTCCCCTCTCCAAAGGTTTTGTTCCAGGTGGTTTTTGTATTAGGACGACCACAAGGAACAAATGTGCAGAATAGAGACACCCACGCAGGTTTTACTCACAAAGCCCGGTTAAAGTCCAAACCTCCCTCTTTATTATTTGCCATCCTGCTGTTAATCCCAATATTTTCGAGGAGGAAAAAAAAAAAAAAAAAAAAAAGAAGAAGAAGAAGAAGAAAAAAAGCAAAGCCCGACCCCGAGGAAGGCGCAGAGAAGCAAAATAAAGCCGGGCTTTTCCCACAGCAGAGCAGCCCTCCAACAGCATATTTTAAAAGCAGTTTTTTTCCTTGTTTACCCGCGTTTCTCGCTCTGCCTCTTTGCTCGGACACATTTGATCTTGGAAAGAGCAAGAAGCTCTAAATGTGTTCTTAAGGGCCAGAAGCTGTCAAACCTTTTGGCGGCCAAGATTGATCGCGCGCAGACACCACCAGAGCTTTGTTTGGACTAAAAGCAAGAAAATTAAACCCTTTGCATTTTCCAACAGCATCGATATTTGTAAGGCATCCCTTTCGAGGGATTAAATGACAAGTCTCGTTCTATATTTTATTTAAACAAGCAACCACCAAAAAGCCCATTTAAAGCCTCCCAGCCCCTCCCCTCCCCCTCTCTCCAATGCCTTCGCAGATATGCTACATCTTGAGGGTGCATTAACTTAAAACCGATTTTTAAAATGCACTTCGTGCAGTCTGGACGTAGACCGGTCCTCTGAGTGCTTGGGGCTTTTTTTTTTTTTTTTTCCCTTTCCTTTTTTTTTTTTTTTTTTTTTTTTTTTTTTTTTTTTTTTCCTCTTCTTTCTTCTTCTGTTTCTTCTTTATTTTTGCAACACGAAGAAGACGCTTTGCCGACCCCCCTTTTGGCAACCTCGAAAATGCAGAGCGACGGCCCCGCCCGGCGCTGTGATGCTCCCCGGCAGCTGGAGGACACACGGACATCGCCCGCAGCTCCTGCCCGGCCCCCGGCCCGGCTTTGCGCGCAGGACTCGTCGGGCCGGGGACGCCCCTGGCGTTGTCACCCGCTCTCCCGGTTGTGCCCAAAGCGTCCGAATTCGGGACCCGACCGAGCGGAAGCACGTGGAAACGACGGAGAGAGCCAAGCTTCGGAGACGAGAGCCGTGCCCCAGGTTATCACCCCGCAGCTCTGCTGGCCCCGTGAAAACAAACCCGCTACCAGCCCATATATCTCCTGGTAATCGAAAATACTCACCAGACCCAGCCTACTACGGTTATTAAGCAATTTATGCCAGCAGACGGGAGTCGCGTTTGCAAGCTTAAGGCACAGGATTTTGGCTTTTTTTTTTTTTTTTTTTTTTAAAGAGGCACCGGCCAGCCGCCTTTGCAGCCTCGCGATTTGGCTCGCCCAGAGCGGTGCTCGCAGGGCACTTTTTTGTGGTCCAATCCCGGGAAGGCAACTGGAGAGGGAAGTCACGGAGCGCGGGGGCTGCTGCTGCCTGTGTGACTCTTCCCTTAGAAGCAAGATTGCTGAGGAAGATCCTCTTAAACAATGGCTCGGCACCGGCGGCCAATTGTTCTCCGTACTGTACAATAGCTGGCCACCAAAAAAAAAAAAAAAAAAAAAAAAAAAAAAAAAGAGGAGCCCATGGAGGCTGAGTCTGAAGCGGTAAAGTAGTTTTGGAGGAAGTGTTATTCTCCAGGAAAAAATCAAGACTCGAGACTCCTGCCTGTGTGCAACTTCTTATGTGGGGGCCTGACGGTGTCAAAACTTTGAAGATTAATGGACGACTTTGTTAATGACTCACGGCGTCAGATTGAGGTGCTTAAATGATTTGTGAGGTGCAAAGCGCTTTCCTGACAGTCCCAAACAATGAGGGGAGAGTGCGCGGGCGGAGGCGAGGAGGCAGCGGGCTGCAGGACGGGCGCACACACGCGGGGACACACGGACACACGCACACACCCCGCAGCCGCCGCACCAACGCACCCCCGCGCCCTCCCCCCCGCCCCGATCATTTCAGATTAGGACGCCGAGGGGATGGATGCGGGAGATACCGTTTCCCTCTTTAAAAAAAGTGTAAATAAAGCCTTTCTGGCCCCCAATGAGGCGTTCCTTCCCGACTTTTTTGGATCAATCAAACAGACAGTGGCTTCTTTTGATTAAAGCCCAAATTGTCATTGGGCAGAGGCAATCATGTGACAGCCAATTCGGTCCAATTTCAACCTTGTCTCCATGAATTCAATAGTTTAATAGTAGCACGGTCCCCATACGGCCGTAATCAGTGAATTAGAAAAAAAACACCCCACCAGCGATCTTCTATGATATATTTTTTTCTCCTCTCTCTCCTTTTTCCTGGGCCTTCCCCCCCCGAGCCCCCGGCATCCGAGGGAACTTTTTCTCCGCGGGGGCTGCGAGTTGAAGGCCATGAATTTCGAATTCGAGCGAGAGATCGGTTTTATCAATAGTCAGCCATCGCTTGCTGAGTGCCTGACATCTTTTCCCCCTGTCGGTGATACATTTCAAAGTTCATCAATCAAGAACTCGACGCTTTCACACTCGACACTGATTCCTCCTCCTTTCGAGCAGACCATCCCCAGCCTGAACCCCGGCGGCCACCCTCGCCACAGCGGCGGCGGCCGCCCCAAGGCGAGCCCCCGCGCCCGCAGCGGCAGCCCGGGCCCCGCCGGCGCCCCGCCGCCCCCGGAGTACCCCTGGATGAAAGAGAAAAAGGCGTCCAAGCGATCCTCGCTGCCGCCCGCCTCGGCCTCCGCCTCAGCCGCCGGACCCGCCTGCCTCAGCCACAAAGGTCAGTCCCGGGGCTCGCCGCCCCCCGGCCGCCCGCAGCCCCCGCTCGGACGGGGCTCCGCGCGGAGCCCAACTTTCCCGAGTCGCCCCAACGCGGGATGATTTATTTGAGTTGGAGCTGACCTCTCTTGTCTCGCTGTCCTAGAGCCGGGCTATTTGACAGTAATGAAGAGTGATAGATTGCTCCCGCTCAGCTCGGCGGCTGATGCATTAATTATCAATCGCGCGATGGCCGATATAAAGTTGGCCGCGGCGTGGGGAGGGCGCGGAGCGGGGGGCGCGGGGCGCGCCGAGGGGCCGGGGGGCTCCGGGCGCCGCACAATGGGGTCCCGCGGCCGAGGGCGGCCATTTTGTTGCAGTCGCTATTTTACGCCGCGAGGACATACGGATAGAGAGGCGCTTCCACGCGGGGGGAGAGGGAGAAGCGCTGCCCCCCCCTCCAGCCCGGGCCGCGAGGGGCTCGGGGGCCGCGGTGCCATCCGCGCTTTTCCCCGACGTGCGCGGGGCTCTGCTTCGCCCCCGCT